TGTGTAGCATGCATGCTAGGAGGTATGAGACTTTCCTGTTTTTTTTCTGTATTATATGGATGACCTAATTAAGACTAGATATGTTAATAACTAGGGGACTTGTCTGTGATGTGGAACATACATATTTGATATTTTTCTGAAACAGACTTTCTGTGAGACCCTGAAAAACTTGTTGAATCTTCGTCAGTTCTTGATTGTGTTTGTTTGTTTGTTTGTTTGCGTGGGCTTTTTTTTCCCCAAAATAGACTTTTTCATGCAACCATCTGTGGAGGAGGTTTGCATGCAAACTTTGAGTTGGTTACTGTAATATGAAGTGGCAGCTTTTGCTTTCAGAGTCAAAAAGATATAGGCAGCTTTCCTATCGGTGGAGTTACCGGGGAGGGATATAATCCACAGGCATCGAGAGAAAGGCTGGTGTTCCCTTGCCCTGCATGGAGGGGGGTGCTGTGCTGAGAAAACTGCTGTTGCTCTGCTTAATCGAGCCACAGGATATTCCATTATAGCATTGTCTTACGTTCTACCTGTCTTTCTACCCCTGGATTTTGAGTGGCAGAGAGACTTTGGAAAGGGGGTTGATACTTCAGAACAACGAGAAGGGGAATTTCTAGGGGATTTGCTCTTTTGTGATGTTACACAGGCAGGATCCACAGTTCAGTTTTGAGACTTTTCAGGTGCTAATGACTTTCAAAAGATACAAGGCTATGGAAACAAATGTATGAGTTTCTGTTTGCATAAGTTTGACAAACCATTGCTAAAGGTTTAGTGGATAGACTCCGACCTGTTTCACTTCAAGTGTCAGGTATGTTTGAACTTCAAGTGAAACATTAGCTAACACATACCTTTTTTTTTTTTCCTCTCCTTCAAGAAGGCCTGAGCCTCTAAATATTTTGGGGGGTGCAAGTCTTTCTTTCAGTTTTTCTTGACTTCATTTTTGACTTCAGTGCTTTGACTGCACTGAAAGGCAGAATCCGTTTTCTTGTGCAGCTAAGAAGAATGTGCCTATGTCCTGTGGGGCCTCTTGACAGAGAACTTAAAATTTGAGGTACTTTTTTTTTCCTCTCTTGCTTCTTTTAAATGGAATGAACTGTCAGCAAGCAGAGATGTTTGATGTGATTAGGAAGCTAGCTGTTTTTCACCTGTCCTTTTTTTAAGACCTCTTTTAGACTTACTTGCGGAACATAAACTACTGTAAGCTAGGCTTGGTCACGTCAAGTAAATAGGAGGGAAAAAAATTGGTGTGTGTATTCTAAATAAACTAAAATCAGTACCCTATATTACAAGGGAAATTATTCAGATCAGTACTCTCAAATAATAGGATATGTGTTTTCAACTTCAAAATCCTGAGGATTTCATTGAACGAAACAGTTCTATGGTGAAGGTGACTAGACACAGCTGTCAAATCCCCCAAGTAAACACTTCTAGAAGTTAGAGAAAAAATATCATTTTCAATTTGAGTACTTTGGAGAAAGAGAACTATATATAATCACGTGTCTCTTCACTTCTTTCAGGCCAACTAATTAGGTTTCTATTCAGCTTGTGTTACCTATTGCAAATTGGCTACATGTAAGACACTGCTGGACACTGTCCACCTCTGGTTGTATATGTAAAATTTTGGCCCAGTCTTGTGTAAACAGGATGGGGAACTGCTGGAGCCCTGTTTCCTTGCAGTTGTCAATGTTGTGGAAACTGCATGGCCAGCTCCTTGCTGGCTGTGTTTTGTGAGCGCACAACCTTCCTGCTCTGCTCCCAAGATGCAGTTAATTCAGTCTCTTTGAAGGTGACTCTAAAGACAGAATACTTGGGATTGATTGATTGGGTTTTAGCTTTGACTTTTTACTCTCACTGCCTTAGTTCTCCTGTGATGACAATTTTTAAGTGATGTTTTTGTGAGAACAGTTTGAAATAACCTTAGAGCTGACTAGTTATGTTGCATTTCTTGGTAGTGCTACATGAACAGTGCTTAGTGTTGCCTGCCATTTATGTTTTCATTTTGGAGAAACAAGCACTGCTTTTGGTGCGAATGTGGCGCCCAGTCCCCGGGATATAAGCTCTGCTGAAATGGAGATGCACTTCAGTGGAGAATCCCTGAATGGGATGCTTGAACGGTCTTTACCCACATAAATAAATATTTCTTTTTATTTAGTTTCGAAAAACATGGCGCACAGCTGCTCTTTACTCCTTGTTGTAAAATAACAGGCCATTTGCTGACTGAGGCAAGCTATTGGCATTATTGCTAGCAGCTGCTGAACTCTTAAGTGTTAACTTAAACAGCTCATAAATGTTAATCATGTTGCAGTTTTGTTAGAGAGCTTGTCTGCGTATCCCAGAGGCACTCGCTAATATGTCACTTTTTTCTCCCTTGTGAGCAGATGACATTTAGCGGCAGAGATTCCAAATCGTAACTTCATAATTCTGTAGCTTTGCTGTGATGACTGAAGGGTGTTTTTTTTTTTTTCCCCTAGCTCTGGTTTCACTAGTGCTGGTATTGCAGCTTTATTCCAACATTTTGGTAGGCATAGAGGTGCTGAACGAGCCATGGAAGGAGCACACGGTTGAGCACAACTTGCTCTTTGCCTACTGCCCTAGTGCGTGACGAAGTGAAATCTGAACTGAGGAAAATCTCAGCAGTTCACAGCATGCTTCCATTTAAAGCCATTTTCATATGGGAATGGTTTGGCTGTTACACAAATGTGCGAAGTCCATGTTTTGCGTTTTCTACATGCAAATTAAGTTTATTAAAATAACAATTGCTGTAGAGGTGTGTACAATCTGCATAAAAAGCAATGAAATAGTGTACTCTGGCCCTTTCCTAATCTCCCTCACCCCTCTGCCAGTGGTAACGTGTCCTTAAATACAAGACAGAGCCACTGAGCAAACTAATCCTCTTTTCCTTCTTTCACCTCCGATTCTGCTGGTGTTCTTTGGGTAAACCACTGATAACGCCTCGTAACCTGATTTGGAGGCCTGTTTTAAGTAACTGTGGTACACCAGAAAAAAAGTAATGACTTTGGTAACTTTTTGATATGGATCATTGCAAAGGTCAGGAAGCAGGCAGTGTTGTTACTGCTGCATAGGGATGGAGTGATTACTGCATCTAGAACCCTTTCCTTCACCTTTACTTTCAAGTCAGCATGTAACGGAACTGGGAAATGTTCCTCCTTGCGGTGCTGTATGTTTGCCAGGGTTGCACTTCATACCTATGGGCTCTCCTCCCTACCAGGCGAAGGTAGGAAGTCCAAGTCGAGACTGCAGTTGGACTGTGCTGCTGGTATCTGCTTGTGAGCGATGGTTAACGTGGCCAGGCTGTGACTTGTCCCATACAAAGCTACATCCTAGTTCCCACTTTGTCCCTACTGCTGTGTGTGTCATGTTGGGGTTCATGGGAATGGATGTGCCCCTTCTCCTTGGGAGACTCCTCTGGCTAGTTGCAGAATTTCTGTCCCCAGAGGAAGGTGTGGGACAGGGACAGCCACTGCAGACTGAGGCTGAATTGATCCTTTCTGTAGAGTGCCAGGTCCTGACTTCATCTGGAACTGTGTGGGCTTTAGCAGATAGACAAGCAAGCATCATTAGAATGTGCATGGCCATGAATGTGACGCATTTCGGTGGTGGGGCTAGTGTTCAACAGATGATAGGGAAGACCACAGAGTTGGACTGTGGTACACACTGATCTGAGTAATGGTTTGGTCTCAAAACACTCAACCCTCTTGCTTCCAACAGCAGGAGTAAATACCAAACCGTTGGATGTGAAGGTTTATCTGTAGAGTTGCTCCTAAAGGGCTGGGAAGGGATTGGAGAGTACCCTTTCCAGCAGCTTTCAGGTAGAAGTGAAACAAAACTCCCTGGGAAAGTAGAGGAGATTCCAGATTGTGTGTGGTTAAATTGTAGTTTTATCTGCATAACATTTTTTTGGGGGGAACTGGAGATTAGTCTGTGATTTTTAAGAAACTTTCTACTCTTTCTGCTTAATGTGAAATTTCATGCTATATTTGTAGCTTTCTGACCAAGGCTACTTCTTTTTTTTTTTTTTTCTTCCTGGCTCTAAAAGAGCCATGCAAATCCAACTGTTTTTCTTTTATTCTTTCCCTGAGACATGCGTGCAGCAGACCTGTCTCCTGCAGCAGGTCAGGACAGCTTCTTGGTGAGATAAAAATTCAAATATCCAGAACTGTAATTTATAGGGAGGAAAAACTATGAGTATCTTGGGTCTGTATGCATTGAACACTTTTTTAACTGACAAAATGGGAGCATGCTAGAAGGATTGAATTTAAGAAAATGGTTACCTGAACTTTTTTTCCTTTCAAAATGATGATTGAGAATTTGCTTGTTGTGTCTGCATTCTAAGTTGAAGTTTTGATAGGTTGTTTCAGGCACACGC